TGTGTGTGTGTGTGTGTGTGTGTGTGTGTATGTCGCATGCCTGTGGAGGGCAGAAGAAAGTGTTGGATTCCTTGGAACTGAAGTTAACAGGTGATTGCAGACATGTGATGTGGTGCTGAGAACTGAACTGCCGTCCTACAAAAGAGCAGCAAGTATTCTTAACCCGTGAGCCACCTCTCCAAATTCTCAAAGTTTTGTTTCATAATGGATTAGGAAGGCTTCAGGAAGTGAGCATAGGAAGAAATTACAGGGATGTAGGGGGGAGCGGCTGGGACCTACCTCAAGTGACTATACTAGACTTTGCTGACTCCCCATGAGGGCCTTACCTTTTAGAGGAGGGCATGGGGGAGGGGCTGGGGGAAGATGACTTGGGGAGGGGAATGGGAGGAGGGATGAGAGGAGGATCTGTGGTTGGTATGTAAAATGAATAAAACAATTCTTAATAAAAAAGAAAGTTAAAAAATTACAGGGAGTAATATTGTAGAAAGAATATGATAGGGGCTTATTGCACCTTGGTGTTTCAAGCATGCCTTCTCTCCACACACACCACAAAGGATTCATAAATCTTACTCATGTGCTGCTGGGGGCCAGCCCTGGTGGTGGCCAGGTCCCAGAAAGGAGGTAAGAAATCAGCAAGGGAAGGATGAGGCGGGTGTGATAGTGGGGAGAATCTGACTAGCAGCCAGAGTGCTTCTTTATTTATACAGAATTCAATAAGCAGGGATAGACTCATATTGTTCCAAAACATAGACCACACCATTTTTGTTTTCAGACATGTGTTTAACTTTTTTCTCTTGCCCATCTGGGGTCAAAAGTTTAGTCATCATTGATTGAGCATGACAGAACAGTTATTATTTACAATCATTTTCCCTCAAGTTTAGTCAACAGAGTTATCTTTTATAATTATTTTTCCTTAGCAACCCCATAACCCAATTTTTAAGAATCTAGAAGTATATGACAGCCTGTTCTCAGGCTGGCAGTTCTTGTGGCTTCAAGGACGCTGGACAGAAAGAAAAGCTCCAAGCCAGCCCAGGCAGATTGCCATGTCTCGAGCAGAGTATTGCTAACTCTTAATGGTCAGAGTGCCCAAGAAAAATCCTCAGGCCAGAGCTGCTGCAGTTATCATTCAATTTCTGGCACAATACAGTATTTCCATTTTATATCTTTATCGACTTCATTAATATGTCTATTTTTGGCATTCTTTCTTCCTTGGTCATAAGATACCACAGTGGTCCTCTATGAGGTATCTTTTCTAAGAAAGGGAGGTCCTGACATCTCATACTTTTATCATCTTTCCACTCCATTCTTTGCTCATCAATGTAAGTCCCTGTGTAGGGCAGAGGTAACTTTACCAATCTAACTTTGTTGCTGTATATGCCATGTAATCACCTTTGTGTATAGTAGGAAGAGGCTTGTAATCTGATCTGTGGCCAACTCTTCTAGTCCACCTAATCTTGTTGACCTTTTAAAGTTCACTTTGTTTTGATTATCTTTGTTCCTGAGTAAGTACAGGGGCAAATGTTTCAAGAATATCTCATAGCCTCATAAAGAAACCTCTGGCTTCTTTATGTGTGTCACAACCTCCAAGGAGTAAGGAAGACCTTCAAGTAGATAAGGTTATCTCCCTAAAAGCAGGAGGGGTGGTATGTTCAGGACTTTCCTGGGGAAGCTTAGAAGTAGTACTCCTGGGAGAAGGCATGAATGATTCGTAAGAAATGTTCCCATCAATCCAATATCCTCAAATTGTATAAGTATTAAAACTCCCCCAAGTATACAACAGGAGGAGATCAAACCCAAAAGTGGCACACAGCGGCCATCATGTGGCTCAGCTTTGCTGGATCTTCGTCAAGCAGCTGGGCTGGCTTTATGACTTTTGCCGTTCCCATCAGATATGGCTGCGCCACTCACGATTTTATTACTGCTTTTCATCTCAGTTTCTTTTTTGAAGAAAACTTCTTGTGAGTTCACATGTGAAATGTTCCCCTTGACCCGCCTGTTGTGTTTGAAAGTTGCTCTCTGCTGGAGGTGCTGTTTTTGAAGGTTATAGAAACTCTAGGAGGTGGAGCCTGTCTGTCTGGAGGAGGTGGAGCCTGTCTGTCTGGAGGAGGTGGAGCCTGGCTGAGGAGACAGATCTCTGGAGGCAGACCTTCAGGGTCTGTAACCTGGCCCTACTTCCCGAGATCTTTGCTTGTTGACTGTGGATACAGTGTAGCAGACTGCCTTCATCCTCCTTGCCTCCCCCGCTCTGATGGGCTGGGTCTCAATTTATTGTGAGACGGAATCCACCCTTCCTTTTACAAGTTGTTTCTTTTTAGGCATTTAGTTATAGCAACAATTCTAATGTACTTCCTTTAATGATCTTTTCTCCTTACACTTTCTGAACCCATTCTCCATATCTTTCTTTTGGATCTTCTATAATTCTTAGAAATATTGGAACACTTAGAGACACCCTTAATACCTCTAGTTATGGTGTGAATGCTATGGAATTTTCACCTTACAGTTTTGAAACAAATTAGCCCTTGGTATTGATCACACTTCTGGTGTATAAGTTTCAATGAGGTTATTGTTCAAACTAAGCACGTGAAGCACATAGTGTATCACGCTATGACTACTAGTGTGTATTTATTACACGTCTACTATTCTGTCAGCTAGGCTAGTAAGTTTCTAAATGGAACGTTAGTCAAACATCCACTAAAGTACTATTCATTAGCTTTCCAGACTAGTCTTTTTGTACTAACTGAAGGGTTTACAACACGGTCGCATTTACCAGGCGGACACTTCCGCCTAGCCATTTCCGGATCAAGGCGTCTAGTAGCTAGGATACCCGGCGGACCCGGATATCTCTGCCTAGCAAGTTCTGGGCCAAGGGGTCTCGCATGATCAGGGTCCATGACGTTACATGGTCACGTAATCGTGCAACGTGACCATGTGATCTACGCACACGCGTGGAGTAGTGACATGACCTGGCCACGCCCCCAGCCGGTTTTAAAAGTGGAGCGCCATGT